GGGAGAAAAATGAATCGAGAACAGATTGAATAATAATGAGTTCAAAATGGCGGACTTAACTCCTTCAAAATATTGATGGTACATTACACAACCTACACAGGTACAGTGATGCAGTTGATTGTATTACTGGCAGATTAAGTTTTACATTAAACACCAGCACGGTTTTGAAAATATAGAGTGCGAATGTACAATTATTTACCAGTTTGTAATGAATTATATGTGCTGATTTACATTTTCAATTTAAAATATTAAATATACTATCAATATTAAACCCGGTTACAGACGAGCGAGTTTTCTATGACACGTTTTTATGCGACAAGTTTTATTTGCTCGTCTGTACGCGCAACTTTGACAATTTTTTCTATGACAAGTGCACTTGTTCAAATGCTAGCTAAAGTACAAATTTTGTTCGTCTGTAAGTACAAATTTTGTTCGTCTGTCAGTATGGATCAACAAAGAAAACTTGTCAGAGTAATCTGAGCATTTGATGTGATTGGCCAGCTAGCTACTAATAAATTGTCAAAGTAAACTTATTGACACATTCACACCAGTAAATAAAACTTGTCATATGAAAACTTGTCATATAAAATTTGTTGCATATACACACATGCACTTGGCAAATAAAACTTGTCACATAAACACTTTGTCACAGAAAACTTGCTCGTCTGTAACCGGCTTTATACATTAATATGGTCGACAAACTGATGCAGTGTACAATAACCTCCCTGCCTACTTACCGGCTTGCAGTTGGGTTCTTTACAGTATTTTAGTTGAACTCACTATTAATGCAGTTGTCTAAACCTGCAGATGTAACTTTGAACAAAAGTATAAACTATTGCTCAAAAGAATAAGTTAACTTAAAATTTTCACAGCATGGATTGTGGCCCATTTCAGTTCACTGGTGCATTGGCCTGTGTGTGAAAAAACTTCCTGAGTATTACTCCTGTTATTCTAGATATATTGGAGTGACATACATGTAGCCGAACGAGCATATTGAACCTAGCTTCACCACAGTACCGGCCATGTTGCGACGCTGGTCATGTGACGGAGGTCGATATCTCAATTTTGTCGCAAAGTACTCAAGCAACTCATGGAAGTCCAAGACCGTCGTCCACAAGGAAGTTTCAGAAGCGTTGCTTAAGAACAAACCAGTGGTAGCATTGGAATCCACAATCATTACCCATGGCATGCCATTTCCTCAAAATCTCAAGTAAGTTCTGTTTGACTTTTATAACATAAAGTTTACACAATATTTTTCATTAAATATTTGGATAGTATGTCTCCAAAACTACTCTCCAAAATGGCTGAAAATGCCATTTCAGTAACCACACCCACATGTCTTTGCATTTTTACAATTCCAATTTTAAACTGCCAATTTATATTTTATAGCAGTTGTTACCAGGAATGGGATTGGGTGTTTAAAATTAGTATTGCAGACTTGCAAAAATTTGTAGTGTGATTGAGCTGACATTTGTGCGACTGTCATGGCGATATGAGTTTGTGAGATCCGTAATTAATTTGAATGGATCAACCAGGACAATATCCACCCCCACGGACATTGTGTGTTTGGACATTAGGAAAAACTGTCCATGTTAATGTAGAGAGGTCAGTCTGTCTATAAGCAGAGATTTCCCTAATGGTTGACAATTGTTCTCAACATCAACAGGACTGCTAGATCCGTGATTGAGATCATCCGAAGAAATGGCGTTGTCCCTGCAACTGTTGCTGTATTAAATGGTGAATTACATATCGGTGAGTAGGCTGATTGTATTTTGGGCATAACACTAAATAGTAACCCATACACCTTATATTGGCATCACCTTAGAATATATACATGAAACTTGCAGTTAGAGCTCCACAACTGGCCTCTGTAGCTTAGAGCGCTGCATCAGAATTGCAGGTTCAATTCCTGCCAGAGAGCATATATTGCATTCAGGGGTTCCGTTTACAAAGAGCCCATTGCTGTTAGTTCTATCGAACAAAATGCCCAAGGTCTCAATAACCAGACTGCCCATGTGTCCAGTTAACCCATTAAGTTGCATTGCACCCTAATTTTATTTATTATAATAATTTCACTTTGTCTAATGCCAGATGACTTTACTCATCAAAGGAGAGTGCTAGCACTCATTGGCTTAATTAATAATAAAATATCAAATCTATATTTACCAGCAAACACTGGCTAAGCATTAATTCCTTTTCCTCATATTGTAATTATTTGATACCGATTCTCATCACTCTCTGTTCATTTCAAGGATTGACGAGAAGCGAATTGGAATATATATCAAAGATGGGAAAATCGGCCATTAAGACCTCAAGAAGAGATATACCTGCTGTTCTTAGTAAGGTTTGTATATTTATGTATATTTGTCAATCTTTTCTGTGAAAACAGACCCAGCAAAAAAATCTGGAAAAACTGCCTCCTGTTGGAAACTTAGTGCCCAGCCACGGAATACTGCACAGAAGTCCATCTCCATTGTTTTTGCATAAGCGTTATTTGTCATGATTCGTCACTCATCAAGTACCGTAAACAGAAGCAGTCACCCCCCTGGACGTGCGCCATTTTGAGCATTTCCAGGGGTGACTGCTTCTGTTTACGGCATTTGCTGACTGATGAATCATGACGAATAGAGCTTACGCAAAACAATGGAGATGGAATTCTGTGTAGTATTCTGTTGGCCAGCTGATATGTTAACGCATTCAATGCCAGCACCTTCCCCTTGACTTAAAGTAGCCTGGCATTAGACAGAGCAAAACAACAGAATAGGCACATTAAGGCACAATGCAACTTGAAGGGTTAATCTATGTTTTGCTACTATGTAGGGTTTAGTTGGTGGTACAACAGTGTCTGGTACGATGGTTGCTGCAGCAGTGGCTGGTATACCAATCTTTGTAACTGGAGGCATTGGAGGAGTACATTATGGGGCCGATAAAAGTGAGTACATCCAATTGTGATTGGTAAATTATTTATTGCCATCAGATATGTTATTTTATCACCAAAACCATGGATCCTAAGTGTCATGTTGTCGTGTGTCAATTAAAACATTCAGGAATGTGGCTATACATACAGAGAGTGAGAGAGTTCAAAACGCCACTGCTAGATTGATCTGTCATCTGTGTGGTCCCCAAATTCGCATACATCAGTCCCTAATATAATATGGAACTTCATTGGCTACTGGTTAAATTTAGGATAGAATTTATGGTTCTTATTTGAACCTTTCAAGCAATTCACGGATTAGCGCCACAATATTTATGTGAGCTAGTTTGCGTTAAAGAATTCGGATTATCATCTCCGATCAAATAAATAAGCTTTCAAATTTGCAGACCCTAGAGTGGGGAATCACATGCGAAAGGAGATACGACATACACAATCTATCATTTGTTTTTCTTAATATTCCATTTACTAAATATTTTAACGATAATTCTTACTTTTTAAATATTTTAGACAGTATTCCTATCTAATGTTAATGTATTTCCAAACTTGTAAATATAGCACATCTGAACATTTTTCATGAGAATTCTTATAACGTCGTGAAATCGACAATTTGAAAATGGCATGAGGAGCTAGGATCCGTGGTTTTGGTGATTGTCATTTATTTAAACAAAAACGTAATAATTTATTAATTGGTTTAATGATTTCAGCATTTGATGTGAGTGCAGATTTGACGGAGTTGGGTCGAACTCCTGTGACTGTCGTTTGTGCTGGCGTCAAGTCAATACTGGATATTGGTCTAACACTTGAATATTTGGTAAAATGTAACTTCCTGTGACTTAAATCGGTCATTCCAAAAAACATCCATACATACTCCCCCGAAAACCCGATTACCCAGAGAAAACCCACGACTTTTGGAGTAAAGCGTTGACTAACTCTTTTCACATGCGTGTCATGAGTCCGTAGCGGGAATCGAACTCACGATCTCAGAGGTGAAAGCAGGGTCTTAGCTAGGATTTTAGATCTTGGGCGTGTTTCTAAATGACCAGGGTGTGCACATGTCAATTACCTTGAATAGCCAAATTGACGGTTCTACAACAATGGACAATGCCTGTGGTTGTTCTATGCTTTGCAACCAAATACAAGGCGAGCATATGCTCATATATATTGCGCACTGACATTAAAATATTAAGTTATTTCAGCAACTCTTGGGGGTATTTAAAACCACTTTAACAATTAACACCATGTATACGGTTCCCATTATCCATCAAAACATTAAAACATCACGGATCACTTTTGCCAATTTCAACAACAACAACAATAGATTTTACAAACTTTCTTATGACGTAAATAGAAATAAATTCTGTCTGTTCTAAGTAGCACCATCTTATTTTATGAACCTACACGGCCTTGTATAAATAATGAAGCCGCGCTCATTTTATCTAGCCGTGTTTTTCCATTTGCCGCGATAACACGGCCAACACGGCCCTCTAGCTAAGACCCTGGGTGAAAGGCGCTTGCTTGCACCGAAAGCCAAGTACGACTAATTTGGTCAACATTTGATTTAGGAAACTCACGGAGTTACGGTCGCTACGTTTGGAGACTCTCTGGATTTTCCCGCTTTCTTTACACCAAACAGTGGTTTCAAGGTGAAGCATTAACTGACTTGTCTTAACCGAGATATTGAATACAACTCAATGGACCTATTGCTTAATAAACGAAATTTTGATCTATACAAGTCTAGACAAAAAAATTCATCACAGCTTGAAAGAGCATCACAAAATTAGTAATATTCCAAAGTTTCGTTGCAAAATGTTGTAAAATGCGGATAATATAGCCCTGCGAAGTTTGCCGTTTTTCAGTCATTTTGTATTACGCGCGCGAAATTGATACCGTTTTCAGAAAGCGGTATCAATTTTCCGTGCGTAATACAAAACGACTGAAAAACGGCAAACTTCGCTGGGCTATATTATCCGCATTTTACAACATTTCGCAACGAAACTTTGGAATATTACCAATTTTGTGATGCGCTTTCAAGCTGTGGGGAAATTTTTGTCTAGACTTGTTGAGATCAAAATTTTGGTTATTAGGCAATAGGTCCATTAGTTCATGTTTCTTTATGACTTTATCTATTGCAGGTCCCTTACAACGTAAAAACGCCTGAGGAAGCTGCATCAATGATAGGTTGGTACAACGAATAAATATCGAGATTTTGTTGGCATCTCTCTCGATTCAATAATAGTTGAAGGATCTGTCATCTTGTAGATGGAAATCATCGAGTGGAAATTTATGTATAGGTTATTTTGAGGCAACGAGGGGATATGTGATTTATTCACCGAGGCGCGCAGCGCCGAGGTGAATAAACACATATCCCCGAGGTGCCTCAAAATAACGTACTTATTTTTCACCCTGCGAGGTCGCGTTAATGAGTCAGAAAAGAAATAATTCTTAATGCCATTTTGCCTTCGTGATGTTGTTTTTTCTCATTTTTTGTGCTGCAAAGACATTGCAGGTGAATATTAGAGGGGATTATTAAACGGAAATTGATTGTAGGGGAATATTGAATATATTCCCCAATAAGAACAAAGGAAACCGAGCAGGGTGAAAAATAAATACATTTATTAGACCTAACTAGGAACAGCTGTATATACATGAACTTGTGGTTAGAGTTCGACAACTGGTCTCTGTAGCTCAGTTGGTTAGAGCGCTGCACCGGAATCACAGGGCCAGAGGTTCGATATTAGACATTGAGTGTATATTATTTTCAGTCCTGGATTTGCAACCCATAAAATGGTCATGTTTATTTTCATTTTACTTTGCAGAGTGCAATATTGAGATGGGTCTGAAAAGTGGTATGCTGATTGGTGTACCTATCCCAGAATCCCATGCGCCGCTTGGAACTCAAATCGAGGCAGCCATTCAACAAGCCTTGCAAGACGCCAAGTATGTCTGCGATTGACAGATAAATAAATCAATTGCGATTGTATGTCCTATCAATTGCGATTGTATGTCTGATCAAGATGATGTAAAAGTATTTTAAAGATGCTGTAAAGTCCGTTCTGCGCATATATTCTGCGCATCAAAACATTCCATCAGTGGGGGAGCAACCTTTGGAATGTTGTTAATATTTCGCACCTTCCGAACTTTCTTGAATTGAATCTCTAGTCTGCATTCATTTACAAGCATAGCGAATCGCAAGAGTGTTAAAAATTCAGTATAATATATATCTAATCATATTTTACAACTGTATCACTGAGTTCAAAATGTAAACAAAGCGTTTGTTCACATTACGGACTTTACATCACCTTTAATGGTAGCAGAGTGGTTATTACATCTATCTTTTACCTCCATCAATATGGTTCAATTTCTGAAAAATACAGGTGTCTCATTCTAATTTTACTTCAGTTGTGTGTGGAATTAAGAGTGCTTCCAGTTTGACTTAAACCTAGGTGCTTAGTGGTCCCTAGACCCCACGCCTACCTCCATTGAAAGATGTTACCTCCCCAGAAATACAATCTCTCAGCCATGGCTGTACTCCAGCTTTACCCCGCAAGAACACTGGACCAATAAGTGATGCACTTACTGGAGCACTACGTGGAACAGTTTAGAACTAATAGAGCTATCCAATTTAAGTAAAGTTAATTTCAGCTTAATTTTTACTGCGCTGAAATCTCTATATTAAACATTCCCTTTTACAATTTCAGAAACAAGGGTGTCTCTGGAAAAGAAGTGACTCCATTTGTTCTTCAGAGGGTCAATCAACTTACTAAAGGAAAATCTCTCGAAGCTAGTATCCTTTGCACTTAAAAACACTGTAGTTTCGGTTTCCTGTTGTATAGTAACACTAGACCAATAACAGATTACCTTTACTGGACCTCTAGAGAGAACAGTTTAGAACTGATAGAGCTGCCCAGTATAAACAGAGTTAGCTTAATGTAGGTTTCCTTCTGTAGCAACACTGGATCAATAAGAGATGATTTTTACTGGACCTCAATGGAGAACAGTTTAGAACTGATAGAGCTATCCAGTATAAATAAAGTTAGTTTAGTTTAGGTTTCCTTCTGTAGCAACACTGGATCTAGCCTGCGAACAGGCTCTCAAGCTGAATTGAGAGCCTGCATCGATGACTAATGAATTTGAATATCTGCGTCTCAAATCGTGACGCGAAATTCTCATTGGTCAGATGCTATAATTTATATTATTCCGCTGAGCTCTATATATGTCAACTGCTAGCACCATGCATAAAAAACACATTAACTGATCAAATTGGTCTTGGCCATCTTATCTCAAAGCACGAAATGTTCTGTTTTGAGAAAACAGTATTTAAAACATTTAAACTTTTGCTTCAATATCTTATATTTCGAAAAACAGTATAAACTGTACGGTCTAAATTTAGTTTGCACGGTCTAAATTTAGTTTGCACGAAAGTTGTAAACAACACCATATAAGGATAGACATTCCATATTTGGAAAAACGAACGTTACGGGGCAGATATTCAAATTCATTAGTCATCGATGCAGGCTCTCAATTCAGCTTGAGAGCCTGTTCGCAGGCTACACTGGATCAATAAGAGATGATTCTTACTGGACCTCAATGGAGAACAGTTTAGAACTGATAGAGCTATCCAGTATAAATAAAGTTAGTTTAGTTTAGGTTTCCTTCTGTAGCAACACTGGATCAATAAGAGATGATTCTTACTGGACCTCAATGGAGAACAGTTTAGAACTAATAGAGCTATCCAGTATAAATAAAGTTAGTTTAGTTTAAGTTTCCTTCTGTAGCAACACTGGATCAATAAGAGATGATTCTTACTGGACCTCAATGGAGAACAGTTTAGAACTGCTAGAGCTATCCAGTATAAATAAAGTTAGTTTAGTTTAGGTTTCCTCCTGTAGTAACACTGGATCAATAAGAGATGATCCTTACTGGACCTCTAGGAAGAACAGTTTAGAATTGATAGAGCTACTCAGTATAAAGTAACAGAGTTAGCTTAATGCAGGTTTCCTTCTGTAGCAACACTGGATCAATAAAGGATGACTCTTACTGAACCTCGGAAGATTAAACGCCTTAACCGTGTACAATTCAGATATAGCATTGATTCAAAATAATGCTCTGGTTGGAAGTCAAATAGCTTTGGAACTTAACAAGTTGAGGGAGATTAAGGCGTATGGCAAACCACAAACAGTAAATATTCTAATAGTTGTTTAATCGAACTGAACGCAAAAAGATTTCTTCAAGCATAATTTCTCTGTCCGTTCCAGGTACCAAATATTTCTGAAGACCACACTCCAAAGACTGCAAAACAGCCGGTGAATATTTGTCGTTGTTATTGTTTTTTTATTTATATTGGCATTTTCGACAAAAGCATTAACCCGTTGTTAATATACAGGTCGTTATTGGTGGTTCAAATATTGACTTCACAGCTAAGGCAAACTCCGAAATCATGGTACGTTGGAATCCTGTATAACTTATATTCTTGTCGAAGGCTTGGGCTTTCAATAGATTCCATATTTCCACCAGGCTTTTGGCCAGGGTTTCAAAACAAGCCATCCAATACCGTTGGTGTACTATTCTGTTTATGAACAAACATGGTACATTAAATCAATGGACAACTTGCATGTTAGACTAAATTTTAATCTAAGTAAAGAGAAGGGAATCAAACCCCACAAAAGAACATAATGAGTTTAGTAAAATTGCAAAATTTGGTTGCGAAAAGTTGTAAAGCTTGGAAAATATAGTCTTGCAAAGTTTGCAAATTTTTGTATATGTTTGTATTTGCGTGGGGAAATTGTTACCATTTTCGGCTCAAAAATGGTAACAATTTCCGCACGTAATACAAACATATACAAAATATGCAAACTTCGCAAGGCTATATTTTCCGTATTTTACAACATTTCGTGACCAAATTTTGCAAGTTTACTAATTTTAATAAGTTCTTTACGGGAATTTACTTTTTTTGCCTAGATAGAAAATTAGTCTAACATGCAAGTTGTCTATTGTCATATTTTCATAATTCAGCGTCTTTTCCTCAAAAAAGTTTACAATAATAGATAAAGTAAACAGCAGCTGACTGCTTTTGAGGCATTCAATAAAATCAATATCACCAAGCTTGCAAGTTGCTGTTTACAAGTTTCGACAGACTTTTACTTTTAATTGTAGTTTTATGGTGCAACAAACGTTGGAAGGGTCCGTCAAACGTTTGGCGGCGTTGGCAGAAATATAGCAGGTATGAAATGTGTTTTCAGATTTATATCGTGACACCGATGTTCGGTGGTCGTTGATATTTACAATGGAATTTTGACCAAATGCAGCACGATTCAGATTTAATTAAGATTCTCTTTTGATTTTGTGTAGAGTGCATCGCTCGTATTGGTCACTGTAAACCGCTGTTGATATCAGCTGTTGGTGGAGACGACTTGGGCGAGATGTTGCTAAGACAGTTGGAGTTAGTCCGTGTTGTAAGTGATATGTTTGTTTTGTCTGTCTATCATCTGTATTTTTACTATTAGTAATGTAATTGGTCTTATCATTACCCTACTACCATTAAACCACCATCGTCATTATTATCATTACCACCACCACCATATCACCACCATCAGCACCACCATTATCATCATCACCACCATCATCATCACTATCATCATCACTATCATCATCATCACCACCATCATCATCACCACCATCATCATCACCACTACCATAATCATCATCATCACCACCACCATCATCATCACCATCATCATCATCATCACCACTACCATAATCATCATCATCACCACCATCATCATCATCATCACCATCATCATCATCATCACCACTACCATAATCATCATCACCACCACCATCATCATCATCATCACTATCATCATCATCACTATCATCATCATCACCACCATCATCACCACCATCATCATCATCACCACTACCATAATCATCACTATTATCTCCACCATCATTACCACCTTCATCTCCACCTTCATCTCCACCATCATTACCATCATGATCACCCACCATCATCATTACCACCACCACCGCCATTAGAAGCATTATCATCAGGGCAGGAAAAAATAGTTTTCTTCCTGGGAGCACAACCTGGAGACAAAAATTTCCTGCAGACCAACGGAGTATTTTTGTGCTAAATCTGCATGTGCATAAACATATAGTGTTCTAGCTGACCATGGTTTTAAATTCAAGGAATAATGTCTATCAACCATACGTTGTTGCGCCCATAGTGGGACATGGGTGTTAAGGTTTCCTTCAAATTTCCAATAGCATATCTTCATTCAAACGAATTTCCTGCAGCTGTTCAATATTTCCTGCGAGCAGTGCTCGTCTATTTTTTCCACTCCTGATTATCATCATCAACATCATCATGACCAACCTTCCCCTCATCACCAACAGCGCAATACCATTATCATCATCATCACCACCATACCAACTGTGTTTCACCATAATCTTTTTCTACCTTCAAGTCAACATACGGTGTTCACATCAGCAAGGACAGTAACACAGCTACTTACTCCGTTGTTCTAAACAACCAAGGCGAGGTGGTTTTGGGAATAGGTGATATGGAGGCACATGGTGAAGTCACAGCTCAACTGGTAAGGAGACCACGAACAGACAAACAGTGTCTGAGGTATTTCTAGCAGTATAGTAGTTTGTATATGAGTCTTTTACCCCCGTGACTGTGGTTCGATTTCTTCAATATGTAATTGCCTGATCATAATTTCACTTCGGTCTCATGCGATAAGAGTGATTTGACTCTACCGAACACCGCCATGGCTGCAGAAAGTGGGAAGCAATGGAGCGACGCTACCTCTAAAGTCTAAAGGACTAACTCCAAACCAAAATATACACTTGAGTAACTTGTGTAATTCAAAACCGAGTTGAAATACGAATTGTGGAGTTACTGGCTAACTCCAAAAATCATTTGGAGCTAGGTATAACTCCAAAAAGCATGAAAAAGCAGGTATCTAAGCCAAAAGTTACTGGCTAACGGCACACTTGGCATTGTTGTTCTCGTTCAGAGGCTAGATTTTGATCTGCAATTGCGGCGCAACCCATTCTCGTACCCCTCGACCCTTATCATGCTCTGTTGACCGCGTGTAGGATGGGCTCTTGGTACGAGAATGTGGCATAGCCTAGCTCCATTTGAAGATTGGTTACCTCCACAAAAATAGAATGTACAAGACGTATGAACACCACAGGCTATCTGCAAGAACTTCGCTTTCCTAGATAAAATATAGTCATCCGATCTCTGTGGGATTAGATTCATGGATAAAACTT